CTTATGGGACCAGCCTGCTAGCGATGTCGCGGTGTTGTTGGAGGTGCGGGGGTGGCAGTTCTTCGGACGTTTTCAGCTCGATCCATTGGATCGGGGAGTCGGGATCGGTGGGCTTGGGGGCCAGGAGACCATCGACTTCGCCGCCTAGGAGGAGGGTGTGTGGGCCGAAGGAGGTGTGGACTATGGAGCAGTGTTGGGCGTGGTTGGAGACGGTGCTTCTTTGGTGTTTTTCAATTTCCTCGCGTGGGGTGGAAGAGGGGGGTGTGGGGATGAGTGCGAGGGTCTCGAACTTGTAGCCCCAGTAGGTCATCATCTCGTGGGATTGTTGGTCGGGGTGTTGGTAGCGAGCAGGTGGGCGATTGCCTTCTGCGGCACGTTCGGCCGCTCGCGAGGGGAAGTCTTCCTCAAGGTATATTGTGCCGTCGTGGAGGGTCGCAAACATGCTGAATTCTGCAAAGTGGTCGAAGGGTGCCGTCATAATCTGTAGGGCGTTAGTGGTCTCATCCGCCGAGGGACAGCAAGGTAAGAAGCCTGTCTTACTTACCTCGCCACGAAATTCATATATCATCCTCCACGTACCTTGGTCATCATGCCTCTCCAGGTCACAAAGTCAGCCCGGAGGCTCTTCTTCTCTCCATCTTTCTTCTCCCTTGCGACCAGCGCCTTGAGCAGACTGTCAAGGTGCGGGTCCTCCTTTTCTTCGTAGTGTCTGAATGAGTCGAACCCTTCCTTAAGATCTACACCCATGGGCGGTGGTATATAGTAATTGATGCTCGATTCATCGTCCCTATATTCGTGCTGGTCGTCATAGGAAAAATGAGCCACTTCGCGAGGTCGCTTTATACTCGACGCTGCGCCACGAAATCGATTGATCGGTTGTACAGGAAAGCGGTAGATTTCTGCTGGGGCGTCGGATGTGGGTTGAGATGGCTTTGACTGAGACATTGTGGTTGTGACAGGGCGGGATGATATGGCTGCTGCGGCTGCGGCTGCGGCACCCGGTGGAGCTCGAGTTCTTGGTCGTTTCCGGGGTGGAGATGGGTCTCTTTCAGGTGATGGACTAGGCGACTGTGGAGGAAGTCCTGAAGACATGACGGCTCGGAGGAATGTCAAGATATACAGGCTGGAGGGTGTGTTTTCTGTCCTGGAGTAGCTAGCTGTGCTTGCATTCCTCCAGCGCACAACAACATGCAAGGCCGAATGAGAAGGTCAGTACCCGTCTCAAAGCATCAGCGACTATATTGACGCGTGATAGTGTAGTTATCTCAGGAACATTTACGAGACTTGGTATCACTTCGCGCATCAATGAATTACAGAGGGCCCAAGCTCCATTCACCCCACCTCCCCGCTCTACCCCTGTCCCGACCCTACCGCCAACCAAACAAACACACCCGACACCCCTCAACTCTAACGTCACCGACACCTTCCAACCCGCCATTCACCACAACATTAGCCTGCATCTCTCCCCCCCCCCTTACGCCGCGCCAAGCACAAACGCCCCTCAGACCAAGACCCCAAAACATGGACAACCGCGCCGTCCGCCTGCCCCCCAACGCCCGCCGCAACATCTTCCACACCTCTTCGCGACGCCAAAACCTCACGACCATTCGCCCAGACCACCAAATGCCCGCCAATATCTTCCAGCAGCCCAGCGAGGAGGAGTTTGTGGAGCGCGACGCACAGGGCGAGTACAAGATTGCGGCGCCACATCCCGTGTACAAGAATATGGTTGCGCTGAGCGGAGCGCCGGAGGAGGATGAGGAGTCGAGTAAGCAGTTTTTTCTCTTGGGATAAAGGGGCCAGCGTTGGGGAGATGTAGTGAATATGCATCTGCACATCGCATGTATTTCCGCAACCTGATTCTTCTGCTAACGAGCAACCAGACCAAGACAACGAAGTCATAGGGCTGTACGAGAAGCGGAATTCGCACTGGGATCCCAAGCTAGTGGAGGAAGAGATACGAGCGGCGCTGAAGAATAGCCTGAGGAAGAAGGTGGCGAGTATCGAGCATGATCGGTGGATGTTTGAGGGCGAGGGGGACACAGGGAAGAAGTGAGAGGGTGTTTTGCAGGGGGTGGAGGGAGAGGGAGAGTGATTGAGGTGCGGTGTGGTTCTGTGAGTGATTATAGCTATGATACCCAATCGTCGTAAGGCGTGTTCAAAGAGATGCATAATTCAGATTCCATTCTGCTCTACCTCTACCTTTCCTTCTCAAACTCATCCTTCCAACATCCATCATTCCAACCCCCAACCAACATACCAACACATCATCCGCCTTCCTCTCTCCTTCCCAGCTTCCCTTTTTTAGAGCATCGGGGCCTGTTGGGTATAGCATAGCATAGCGTATCATAGCTCAATGTATGTATGATCGTATACATTGACTTGTCTAGTTTGAATTTACATTGGTGCTCCATCGTCCTGCCCATCCCAACGTCGTACCCCATTTCCATCCCTATATATAATCCCATATCCCCACTCAAAACCGC